TATGCTGTTTTCAGAGCTCTGAGCCCTTACCATTGTCCACAATGGTTTATTTTTTTGTTCTTTTCTTTCTAATTGCTATGAGCTGATCTGAATATTTTGTATGGGCACGTGCACGTAAATGTGTCTCGGCATCACTATTGGAAAACAGTAAATATATTTATATATGTGTACCGTATGACTAGTAGCAGTGGACGTAATAAGCTTGTGACAGCAAGCCAGCTCGTTTTTTTTTCAAACAAACAGCTTCCATATTTATCGAATACCAACCCCAATGAATACGTAGAATGCAAAGAACACAACATTTTCCTACTTAACATCGCTACTATAACAGTGATACATTTTCAATGATCATTGTTATCAAGTATTTCGTACCCCGTGTTCAATCTATTTTCAATGTTTCCAACAATTTGCATGCAAGATACAGTAACATTATATAGAAGAGTTTAGCTGTGGAGCCTAATTGAAAGATAATAACTAATAATAATATTAATTTCCACTGAAGAATATAATAATAATCAAACGAAAATTTCAGTTATGAAGAATGAAAAAATGCAGAAAAATGCAATTCAAATAATACACAACCGGTTATTACCAGACAGGTCTGCTTGGTACGAGTGACATCATGGGCTACTAATTTTCTCAAAGCGATGATGAGTAGATAAACCAGCTATACAAATAAGTGATGAGCATGACCAACTCTTAGTATCAACATAACCGAGAAGCAGGCTAAATATTTCCTATCTAATTAATGTAGTGTAGTGTTAGTAGTGTTTTCCTTGAATAATCATAACATGTTAGTGATTTTGAATGTACCTTATTGAGACCAACATCGTTGTGTTTGAGAAAATTTGAAATTGACTAATTTCGATTCGAATTTTATTTTGCATGTTATTTTCATGATTTTTATTGAAGAAAAAATGTGTTTGCTACACCAACTAATTCACACGTTTTTCTTTATTACTTTTTCATATCATGCAAATCCAGCACTACAACATGGGAAACAGGAATGCCTAGAAAAGGACATACAGTTAGTGCAGTACAACTAAAGCATTGAATAAGAGGTCTAACTAACATAGCACGATCATATAATGTCATGTGACCTTATTAATATGCTAATTTGCAATATTACAAGCACTGTTGCAGAAATGAACATGCATCATGCAACATGCATCTATCAGATAAACATATACGGGCAAGTAATCTCCTTAATATGCATATATGTTGTACCATTTTTGTCATGTTTTGCGTAACTGTAATACACCAAGCAATATATACAAAATTGTAATATGGTTTAGACAATGATTGTGATAGCTTATTGAATATGTATCATTCATATATTGAATCAAAATATTGCCTTTTCACTGTAATTTCAAATATAGTAACATTTTCCAAAGAACTTGGCAAATCGGAATATACAAGTTATACTTGTTTGATTTAGAGTTTCAGTCTGATGTATCGCAAACATTCCGTTCACAGCATATTTGTGACATTCTCCGCAACTTTCATGAATGCTACAAGACAAAACAGCGAATGACAGCAGCAAAACAACAATCTTGAATGAATTGCTTTCAAATAAGTACTTGTATTAAGCAGATAATATATACTAGTTTGTGCTGAATAACTGTATTTTTCATATACGCAGGAGCAATATTAATTATTATTATTCAAAGTATTATTCAAATATGCTATTTAGCGCACTACACTATGTCTTGGGCGCTTTACACAATTATAATTACTGTACAATTATGATTGAATTATGATTAAAATTAGAGTTTAAAAGTAGCTGTTGGTGAGTAGAAACGAAGTGACTGAGAAAAATGATCGAAGCAACAAACGAAAAAGCCCGTCGCTGTTTGTTTTCTTAGTTGAAATGTTATCTTGCCGAGTAGTTGACTGCTCGTCGATTACCTAAGCGTACATGATGGTCCATATAAAGTCACAGTAGATTTTTCCTTTAATAGTCTTAAGTGATTAGACTTTGTATTTAATGCCATATTAAATCATTCTCATGTACACGCTGTACTATTCTTGTCGCAAACTACATTGGTATCCCAAAACAGTCTATCCAAATAGGTATACCGAGATTCACAACAGATATTATTAGCAATGTTTAGAACATCGTTTAGGAGGTGAACCAGTCCCTGAACACCGTTGACACACTGCTTCCAACGCTGTAAATACGTCGTGTGAACACGTAACCCTTATGTTAAGCGCACTCTGTCGTCGACTTATTCATTTTCGATCCAGTAATTCGTGTAATTTTAGTTTTTTTTTGTGTGGTTTTGCAGGTATCAACTTATTAATTATGCTAAGAATGTGATAAGTTGTTATTACTGTTGGTCTTACGCGTGACAGTGACTGATTGATGATCCAGAGTTAATATAAGCTGGATAAATTAGATTTTCTAAATAATACGTGATTGGCAACTATAATTTATGGTGA